CCGGGATGCGAACTGCGGTTGACTACGTGGGAGTCCAGCGACATAGCCATTACACTAACTGCTGGTTCCCTATAAACTATTTTTTTTTTTAAGAGAGATTTTTGCTATAGGGTGTATGCACTTGCTGGAGAGACAGAGAGAAAGACAGAGAGCCAGAGAGCAAGAAATCACCCCCCTAGAGGGGATGGCCATGCCACAATACTTTCTCTTCCATTCACCTCTCAGGATTTTGAGCACACAAGCACATGTGCCTGGTGTGAGTTTTAAGCCACCAGGCCTGGGACTCAAACCATGGTGGACTATGTGGGAGTCCAGCAATGTAACTATTTCACCACCTACTGGTCCCTCTATATACTTTTAATTGTTACAGGGTACATGTGCATGCCAGAGAAAAAGAAAGTAACTCCCAGTTGGGGGTGTGGTCATGCCACAAGCCCTTCTCCATTTCTTCCTCCTGTCAGGATTTTAGGAATATACACACACACGTCTGGCATGTCTTTCATACCACTGAGGCTGAGATCCAACCAAGTGACCAGCCATGTGTGATCTGGTTTCCTTACTAGATTACAGGGCTGGCCCCGGATTTTATTCTTTCAACCAAATTTGTTTTATTTGGATGATTTTAGTCTGTATCTTATTTTTAGGATGTATATTAGTTTTTTTAAAAAAAATTTTCTTGAGAACCAGCAGTTAGCATAATGGCTATGTTGCTGGACTCCCACGTAGTTGACCACGGTTCGCGTCCCGGACCCGATGGCTTAAAACTCACGCCGGGTGCCTGTGCATGCGTGCCCAAAATCCCGAGAGGAGAATGGAGGAGAAGGGATTGCGGCGTGGCCATCCCCCCTGGGGGGTGATTTCTCGCTTTCTGTCTCTATGTCTCTCTCTGTCTGTCTGGTGAGCGCACGCACCCTACAGTGAAAACCTCTCCAAGAAAAAAAAATTTTTGTTTTCTTTTAAATAATGAAAGCATTTAAGACTACACATTGTCCTGAGCATAACTTTTAGATTTGAGGACCCTGTGTTTTTGAAATGAGGGAGAAAAAGTGTTTCTATTAAAAAAAATAGGGGGCCACGGGGCCAACAGGTGGCATGGAGGTTAAGGTGCTGGACCCCCACATGACTGACTGCATGGTTGAGTACCAGACCCAGTGGCTTGAAAATCACACCACATGTGCTTGCATGGCCAAAAATCCCAAGAGAAGAATGGAGAAGGGATTGTGGCGTGGGCATCTTCCCAAGGTGTGGGGGTTCTTTTTCACTTGCTCGCTATCACTCTGGCGAGTATAGGCACCCTCTAGCAAACAAATACATACAAATTAAAATAGGAGGACAGCTGACGTGTGGTTAACCACTGGCCTGGTGGTTCAGTAGCTAAATCCCACAAGGTGGACACCACATTTTCTGTACCAGACCTGGCAGTTTGAGAAGCACACTGGGTATGTGTGTGCATGTGCCCAAATTTCTGAAAGGCAAGAGATGGAAGAGAAGGGACGTGGGTGACTATTCCTAGGGGTATGGGGGTTGCTTAATCCTCTTTGCCTCTTCCCATCTTTCTGTCTCTGGTGAGGGGATATGTCCTGTAGCAGAAAAAAAAAAAAAAAAAAAAGGAAATGCATCTTTTGAAATAACTGCACGGATTTTATTTTTGCACCAAATTGAACTAGTTTTCATTTCTCCACACTTTTTGAGCTCCCCTTGTATAACTTAAGGTTTTGAACTGTGTGTGTGGAAGAGTCATGTGGAAATGGAGAGGTCTATTACAGACTTCAGTGAGAGAGGGCCTTTGAGCTTGAGGGCTGTCTACCACAGGTCCTCAGGGCTAGAACAGGGCAAAGCACCAGTGAATACCTGCTGACTGGATGAACAGGTGATGGAACGAATGCAAACAGAGAGGTTCGGGACACACTGAAGGTCACACAGCTCATAGCAGAGCTGGCCTGAAAACCAGAGGCTCTTAATTCTCAGTCCAGTGATCTATCCATCAACTCACAAAGAAGGGATTAGCAGAGCCAGAGTGGATCCGCTTTCTGAAGGAGCACAATGAAATGACAAGAGCCAGGGGAACAATCTCGGGAATGTTGAGGGGAATGGGGTGCTGGATGCCAACAAAACAGGGGTCTTTTTTGTTTACTTGAAATTTGCAAAGAGATTTTTTTTTTCCTATTTTTAAAAAGAATTATTTTACTTTCTACATTTTTTACTTATTTCTTTTAATTTGACCAGAGAGGGACAGAGTGTGAGTGACAGAGAAAGTGAAAAAGCAAGCTGCCAGGTCTGGGACTTGAACCACGGTCGGCCATGTGGGAGTCCAGAGTCCTCTTAACCACACCACCTGCCAGCCCCCAAGAATTTTTTTTTCTTTTCTAAAGACAGGTTCTCAGTATGTGGGGTTTCTTCTGCCTCAGCCTCCCTGCTGGGTCTTCGGGCATGTTCCACTGCCTGGACTGGGAGCAGATCGTAAGTGTCCTCACTGCACACACACGCATACTGTGACAGACATTAATCGGATGACGGTAATCGTTTTACAATGTTGGGGTGTACCGCATACTTTGTAAAGCTTGGATATATATACTTTGGGGAGGTTAATTATATCTCAATAAAGCTGGAAAAAAGAGGGGTAAAAAGAGCTTTTCGAGGTGACCTCTCTATAGGAACCAGGAGGAGGACTGAGTTTCATGAGTTCTGGCTTATCCAGAGGGTGGGGAGAGATGGGAAGTTCAAGGTCTCAGAGGTAGACCCAGTCTCCTGGGGAGAGTATTTGGCATTTCCGAGAACGGGGACAGAGTGTGAGTGACAGAGAAAGTGAAAAAGCAAGCTGCCAGGTCTGGGACTTGAACCACGGTCGGCCATGTGGGAGTCCAGAGTCCTCTTAACCACACCACCTGCCAGCCCCCAAGAATTTTTTTTTCTTTTCTAAAGACAGGTTCTCAGTATGTGGGGTTTCTTCTGCCTCAGCCTCCCTGCTGGGTCTTCGGGCATGTTCCACTGCCTGGACTGGGAGCAGATCGTAAGTGTCCTCACTGCACACACACGCATACTGTGACAGACATTAATCGGATGACGGTAATCGTTTTACAATGTTGGGGTGTACCGCATACTTTGTAAAGCTTGGATATATATACTTTGGGGAGGTTAATTATATCTCAATAAAGCTGGAAAAAAGAGGGGTAAAAAGAGCTTTTCGAGGTGACCTCTCTATAGGAACCAGGAGGAGGACTGAGTTTCATGAGTTCTGGCTTATCCAGAGGGTGGGGAGAGATGGGAAGTTCAAGGTCTCAGAGGTAGACCCAGTCTCCTGGGGAGAGTATTTGGCATTTCCGAGAACGTGGTCTTGAGGGCAGGGAGGCTGGTGGCTTCACAGCTGTCTGTGACCCTTGGCACAAGGCAAGAGGGTCTCACTGGTGCTTTAAGCCTGGGAGATTGGCCCAGAGGACAGTGGCCCCAGAAGCCCTCTGGACCTCAGTACCCTTCTCTACCACCAGGGAGGAGCAGGACAAGCCATGTGCCCACTGACTGCCATCCCTCCAAGCACGGGCTCAGGTGGCAGAGGGTGACAGGGAGAGCCTGCCCCCAACCCCCAGCCCTGGGACCTGGCAGCTCTGAGGAACAGGGCAGCTGGGGGATGCTGGACTCCCCAGGCCCAACTCTCCCCCCATCCCAAGAAGCCCTTTGAAAGGTTTTCCTGGCAGAGTTTAAAGCTTCGATTCATTCAGCCGCTTGGCAGGAGGCCCAGGATGAGGGGATGCTGGGAAGGCCCCAGCCCTCACCTTAGCTGCCCCACTTTCCTGGGACCCCAGCTGGCAGGTCTCCCTCTTCATCCAGTTGCACCCGCCCCCTTCCCCCTGGGAACCCAGGTATCCTGCCCTTTTTCCGTGGAGCAGATGGCCACCCAGAGGCTCAGGCCTGCTAAATCAAGACATTTAAATCCTATAATCCTTGGTGAGAGCCTGAGAGGGGGCAGCAGCCCAACCCTAGTAGCAGGGGAGGGAGAGAACCTTGTGCCAGCCCTGGCAGAAGGGGAGGAGGGACAGTTGGTTCCCAAGTTATGAATGGAGTCACCCCTCTGCCTTGTTGTCATGCAGCTCGCAGACTGACCCAGTCTCCAGCCTTTGTTCCCCTCCTGGAACCCTGGTGTTGCCCCCCCACCTCTCGCCCACCATCCCTAGAGAGTCAGGTGGCTGCCTCCGAGCTTTACCTTCTTCCTCGTCCCTGCACCTGCAGGCCCCAGGCAGCCTGCACTGCACCCACCCCTCAGACACACAGGTGGTAGTCAAAATTTTATTGTAAAATAAGAAAATGATACAAAAATCGGATATAAAAAGGACGAAGGGGCGGGGTTAACAAAATGCGGATGTGCCTTGCAGAACACAGAAGGAATCGCACCGGGCCCTGAGCGTTCGGGAAAAGTAAAACAGGTCTTGGTGGACACAGATCCTGCAGGAAGGAATCTCCCAGTATGGGATGGAATGAGATGGCCTTCTGGGTGCCAAGGTTCGCCAAGAGGTTGCCCAGGCCAAGAGACTTGGAAACCCTGTTCCTGTTCCCTTTACCAGCTGCCCGACCACAGAAACTATCCAGCCAGTCATCAAGGGAGGGAGCCAGCGCCCGCCAGGGGGCCGAGTCCTGGACACCACATAATAAAAGGTGATTTCAAGACCAGACACACATAATTTCATTCACCCTCACAACAAACCCCGTGAGTAGGTACAGTGATAAGCATTTCATAGATGTGGACATCGAAATAAAGAGAAAGCAAACTACTTGAGATAGCGTTCTTGGCTAGTATAGTGGAGAACTGGGCTTCCAACCCAGCGTATGGCCAGTTGTCAAACCTAACGCTTCCACATGAGAACGGTTTTTCACTTCTCCCAAATGCTCCTCATAGTAAAAACATTAAAAGCCAAGCTGGTCTGTCTTAGCTCCCCCACAACCCCACCAAAACCACCAGTGCAGGCCAAATGGAAAACTCCTGGCTGTTTGAGACACACCTATTCCAAGCGGGGGTTTAAGGACCAGAAACCCAAAATGCAGGGGAAGAGGAGTATAAATGGGGGATAGTGAACAAGAGACAAGAAGCAGAGGACGTCAGTCTGAGTCAGGTCCCTCTGTTTTGAACATTAGTTTTCTATGGCGGGAGGTAGACTGGCCCTTCTTGGACTTCAGGTGGCTGTAGGGGAGATAGAGATGACACCATGAGTGAGAGGCTTTGAAGGAACAAAGGAATTTAAAGTTGTCCCCACTATCTACACATACTTTATCAAGCAACTTGGGGTATTTGTGTGTTCTGATCTCTTAATCTTCCCTTAATCCATTTTTTTGGGGGGGAGGGGGAGAGGTTTTTGCTATAGAGACAGAAAGTGAGAAATCACCCCTCAGGGGGATGGCCATGCCACAATCTCTTCTCCTCCATTCTCCTCTCGGGAATTCGGACATGCACGCACATGCACCTGGCGTGAGTTTAAGCCACCAGGTCCGGGAGGCTACATGGGAGTCCAGTGAAATAGCCATTACTCCAACTGCTGGTCCTTCCCTTACTCCATTTTTTTTTTTTGAGAGGTTTTCGCTATACGGCGCGTGCGCTCGCAACAGAGAGAGACATAGAGACAGAAAGCGAGAAATCACCCCCCAGGGGGGAAGATCATGCCGCAATCCCTTCTCCTCTCGGGATCTTGGGCACGCACGCACACACGCCCGGCGTGAGTTTTAAGCCACCAGGTCCGCGACGCGAACCGTGGTCGACTACATGGGAGTCCAGTGACATAGCCGTTACACTAACTGCTGGTTCCCATTCCCTTACTCCATTTTATAAATGAGGAAACTGAGCCTCTGAGAGGGAGTCGAGGTCACAGAGGACCTGCTAGTTCTTTTTTTTTTTTTTCTTTAAATAATTCATTCATTTATTTTAATTTGACCAGGACCAGCAGATGGCATAATGGCTACATTGCTGGACTCCCATGTAGCTGACCACGTTTCGAGTCCCGGACCGGGCGGCTTAAATTCACGCTGGGCACGTGTGCATGCGTGCCCAAGATCCCAAGAGGAGAATGGAGGAGAAGGGATTGTGGTGTGGCCGTCCCCCCTGGAGGTGATTTCTTGCTTTCTGTCTCTCAGTCTCTCTGTCTTTATGGCAAGCACATGTGCCCTATAGTAGAAACCTCTCCAAAAAGAAAAAAAAATTAATTTGACTGGAGAGAGACACAGAGAGACAGAGAGAGAGAGAGGGGAGAAGCAAGCCACAAGGTCCATGACTTGAACCACGGCCAGCCATGTGGGAATGTCCAGTGCCTTAACCACCACACCATCTGCTGGTCCCAGGACTTGCTAGTTTTTAACAGACTGAGTCTCTGACCCCATGATCCCATGCTCTGGCTGTGCCCAACACTTCTGCACTATTATTAGGCCCTTCCTTGAGACTCTCCAGCTCTGAGTTTGGAGTCACTACAAAATAATCCAGAAAAGAAGTATCCACACTCATCCTTGGGTCTGAGGGGTTTGGGAACTCCTGAAAGCAGGAAAACAGTTGTATGATACAACTAGAGGAAGAAAAGAGAGATCTGAGCGGGGCTGGGACACGATGGGTGGGATCAGCTTCCTTCCCTTGCTATTAAGGCGCATGTGCTTGCCAAAGAGAAAGGGGGAAAGTGAGAAATCACTCCCCAGGGAGGGATGGCCGTGCTGCAATCCCTCCTCCTCCATTCTCCTCTTGGGAGTTTGAGCAGGCACACATGTGCCCAGTGTGATTTTTAAGCTGCTGGGTCCGGGACTCGAACCACGAATTCAGCTATGTGGGATCCTGCATCTTAACTACCATGCTATCTGATGGCCAGGGATCTGCAGCCTTTTGCCAGGACGGATTAGAATGGAATCCTCTTGTTCTCCAACACAGGAAGACAGGAGCAGGGTGGGGAAGGGGCCCAGATCGCTCACCTAGAATGAGCCCTGCTGCCCGCTGAC